GTATGTCATAGCTGCACATCCTTCTAGTTGCTGTATGTGGGACTCGGCCTCAGGATGGACGGAGAAGTGGTGCCTCGATGCGCACCCGGGATCCGAGAAGTGGTGCCTCGATGCGCACCCGGGATCCGAACCCGAGCCACCAGCATTGCAGCGCGCGCACTTAACCACCAAGCCACAGGGCCGGCCCTCTTTTTACTTCTAAGATGTTCTTCTCAAGTGTTCAAAGCTGCTCACCACTACTGTGTCTGCATTCCAGCCCACAGGGAAGAGGGAATGACCCGGAAGTTGCATACATCACTTCTCATTCCACTGTTAAGTTCTCCATTGCAAAGACACACCTAACAGCAAAGGCGACTGGGGTAGTTAGTCTCTAGGTGGGTCACCCTGTGACCAGTTAAAATTCTGGGGCTTCTGTTACAAACAGGGAGAAGAGACAAATGGATTTTCAGAAAAAATTAGCAGCCTCTGCTTCACTTTTCCCCTCTGACCCGCTACGTATCTGTGTGTACTCCTCTTCCCATACAGAGAGGACGTTCCTCCCACCCCAAGAGAGACATCCTAGAGGCTCATCCAGTTAATGCCTCCAGTCTAAGATCCAGGATTTCTGTGTGATATGAGGCAATCCTTTTCATTAGATCAGCATATGGTTCTTCTTATCCTGAAAACCTATAAAAGAATAGACATGTCCATCCACTCCTTACTTCCCAAATGCAACATGGAAGATAGAGTAGAAACCACAATACACACTCCTATTTGGAAAAGGGAAAAATGAGAAATAGAAGCTGTCATTAGTCCATAACAATAATGAAATTCTGTTGAGCAGGGATTGCAAAGACTCCTTGTCCTGGCAGAGCAGTATGCTCCTTGGCTAAACCTTGGCTCTGCTCTTTAGAATCCCCTTGTCCATTTTCCTCCATGGCTCCTGGCTTTGCCTTCTAGGAGGTTCTTTATCCATTTTCTACCACAACCACTTCTGAAGCTGGCATTGAAGAACATGCCCTTCTTGAGGCTGCATAGCTTTAGAACGTGTTTCCTGCTGGTGTAGGTTTGGGAGACATTTAAGGGTTGAGAACTCACGAGCTTTTTTAGGGCAGGCATGTGACAATACGGATCCCTCAAAAACTAAATAGGCTTCTGGTCTGTTTGCTTCCACTTGGTTCTAGGTAAAAGTATCCACCGTCAAAGACCTCTTTTGGGTCTTAATTTTTAAGTCAGGGGACTGTAGATTAGTTACTGGTATCTGTTCTTGGCCTATCCGTCTTTTCCTTATTTCAACGGTAACTGCCTTGAGGCGGTACCCTAAATCTGATCTTTACAAATGGGCCGACTCCTGTATCTGGCCAAGAATATGTTATAGAGGCTTTGAAAGAAATTTTTATTTCCTGCTTTAAGGGTGCAAAAGCAATTGGCTTTTGCAGTCCCATGGGGTCCCAAATGATTGAAGTCTCAACTAATTTATATTGCAGAACTCAGTACATACTGCCCTGAGGCTATATTTCCTTCCATTTCTCCTTGCCAACTGGCCAGTTCTTGCCTATTTTCATCTTACTCTTATAGTAGCTCACTAAAAATAAGGCGCAATCAACATTCTATTTTTAACACCTTCCCCTAAAATTACAAGTTCAGATGACACAGGGCCTGTCTTTCAAGTTACTGAAGTTCTAGCAAATGTCTGTCTTCAGTATAACAAGGGTTACGAGCTTTCTAGTCTGCAATATCTATTTTCTTACCACCTTCCCTTACCAGCTGCTAAGTCAATGTCACAGTGTGGTTTTTGATACTGTAGTAACTCATTTCTAGGTATCATTTTCTGCTTTAGCTAGAGTACAGGTTAAGTTGCTGCAAGAGAGAGACCCAAAATACAGTGACTCAAACAAGATAGAAGTACAGCTTTTCTAGCATGACGGTCCCCAAGGGAGAGCAGCAGTCCAGTCTGGTAGGTGGCTCTGTTCCCCTGGGTCATCCTGGGACCCAAGTCTTTCTGTCTTTTATTCTGCCATCTCCTAAAGTATTGTCCTCTTATACATTGTAGAAGCTGACTCACCATTACCATGTCATGTCCCAGGCTGCAGAAAGGGGAAAGACACAGGAATCCCAGAAGTTGAACACATCACTTCTGCTCACATTTCATTGGCCAGTTCTTAGTTATTAGCCATACCTAGCAGCAATAAAGTCTGGGAAATGTGGTCCTTAACTGGGTGGCCATATGACCAGCTAAAATTGGAAGGTTCTAATACTAAAGAAAGAAGAGGCAGTCTCTACCACTGGCATAAAATGAAAAGTCTTCACCCAGTTCCC